ACCAACAGGTACATGAAAAGGTCCTCAACATCAGTAATCATCGGGAAAATGCAAATCAAAACCACAATGAGATATCACTTCACACCAATTAGAATGGCTATTATCAAAAAGACAAGGGGCCGGCGCAGTGGCATAGTGGTTAAGTTCAAGTGCTCTGCTTCAGTGGCCCAGGGTTCGCAGGTTCGGATCCCGGGTGCAGACCTACACACTGCTCATCAAGCCATGCTTTGGTGGTGTCCCATACACAAAACAGAGGAAGACTGGCACAGATGTCAGCTCAGGGCCAATCTTCCTCATCAAAAAAAAAAAAAAAAAGCCAAGAGATGATAAGTGTTGGCAAGGGTATGGAGAAAAGGGAACTCTAATGCACTGTTGATGGGAATGCAAATTGGGTACAGCTACTATAGAAAACGGTATGGAGGTTCCTCAACAAATTAAAAACAGAACTGCCATATGATTCAGCAATCTAACTTCCGGGTATATATCCAAAGGAATTGAAATCAGGATCTCATAGAGACATCTGCACTCCCATGTTCATTACAGTATTACTCACAATAGCCAAGATATGAAAACAACCTAAGTGTCCATCAAGAGATGAATGGATAAAGAATATATATATAACGTAATATGATTCAGCCATGAGAAAGGGGGAAATCCTGTTGTTTGCAACAACTTGGATGGACCTTGAGGGTGTTATGCTAAGTGAAATAAATCAGACAGAGAAAGTCAAATGCTGTATGATATTACTTATATGTGGAATCTAAAAAGAACAAACTCAGAGAAACAGAGTAGAGTAGTGGTTACCAAGGGTTGGGATGGGGGTGAATGGGGAGTCATCGGTCAAAGGGTATAAACTCCCAATTATAAAATTAAGAAGTTTGGGGCCGGCACCGTGGCTTAGCGGTTAAGTGCCCGCGCTCCACTGCTCGCAGCCCAGGTTCGGATCCCGGGTGCGCACCGACACACCGCTTCTCCGGCCATGCTGAGGCCGCATCCCACATACAGCAACTAGAAGCATGTGCAACTATGACATACAACTATCTACTGGGGCTTTAGGGGGGAAAAAAAAGTGTTTAAAAAAAAATAAAATTAACAAGTTTGGGTATTTAATGTGTAACATGGTGATTATAGCTAATAATACTATTTTATATACTCGAATGTTGCTAAGGGAATAGATCTTTAATGGTAACTGTGTGACAAGATGGAGGTGGAAACTAATACTATGGTGGTAATCGTTTTACAATTTGTAAATGTATCAAAGCAACATGTTGTACACCTTAAACTTATACAATGTTATGTGCCAATTATATCTCAGTAAAGCTGGGAGAAAAACAATAAAATGGATAAAGAACTATTGCCTCACAAAATGACAGAAATAAATTCTCACAAAGAAGTTAGACATAAAAAAGTTCACACTTGAGAAGAGATTTCAAAAGTCCACACTATGCTGTGATACAAGTCATGATGGTGCTTACCTCTGGGAGGGGAAGGGGGGCAGGTGGAATGGCTGGGAGGGACAGAGCACCAGGGAGCAATCTCGGGTGCTGAGAATAGTCTCAATTATGATCTGGGTGGTGATTACACCCTTAGAATTTGTACACTTTCTGAATATATGCTATAGTTCCATAAAAAGTTAACTTAAGAAAGCAATAGAACTCTTTGTTTACCAGTGTCAAAAAAAAAAAAAGGCATTTATTAAAGAGATCAAAAAATAAGTGAAAAAATTAGCTTCAACTAGAAGATCTTTAAAATTTACATTACATATAACCAACAGGTTAGCATCCAAAATATATTCAAGGAGATGAAAAAAAAAAAAAAACTCTTACATTACAAGGGTAAAGGATATAAACCGGCTATTGACAGAAGAGGAAACCTCTAGGACTGGAAATTGGAGGTGTGCAGTCACAATCCAGGGAGCGCCTGGAGCCACCAGAAGCTGAAGGAACCAGGAAGGACTTCCCCCACCCCCACCCCCACTGCCTTCTGAGGGCGTGTTGCCCCAACTATACCTTCATTTTGGACTTCTGGCCTGCAGAAATGCAACAGAATAAACTTCTGTTGTTTTAAGACATCAAGTTTGTAGAATATTGTTACAGTAGCCCTAGGAAACTAATACAACTCCCTAAGACTCAGTAGCTCCATTTCTAAATCTATTCCCTAGAGCACTGGGTCTCTATTCTATAAGATCTAAAACCCTCTTTTTAGAACAAATAGTTTGCAATTTACCTATACACGTAACTAAAAAATAAACCAATGCCCTAACTGAAAATACAGAAATAATTTACAATAAAATATATATTTCTACATGTAAATGCTCAGGCAGGACTAAGGTAGAAGATACCATATTTGCACCTATACGCAGAACCTTCCAACTATTTTCTATGTTTGAAAAATGTCTATAAAAAGTTGAAGGAAAAAGAATATGTCAACTTTTATAGATATAGAGTGATCTCCAGGATACACTAAAGAAAAACAGCAAAGTGCAGAATAGTTTCTATGTTACCCACTGTGTAAGGAAGGAAGGAAAGTAAAAAAAACATATGTGAGGGGAGTGTAGTGTGTGTGTATCTATGTAAGGTTATATCACAAAAGGAAACACTGGAGGAATAAATCAGAAACCAATAAAATGGTTACCTAGAGCAGAGAAGTATGGGGGGAAATAGGTTTGAGGAGACAGGGCTGGAAGTCAGACTTCTCTTAGTATATTATTTTATATAGTTTTGACTTTTATACCATATAAATGTAAAAAATTAAACTAAATTAAGAAAAAACTAAAATTGAAAAATGATGTTGAAAACATCTATGATCATAAATTCCTCTATTCAATCAAAGCCAAATTAATCAAGCTTGTTTAACTTCTGTGGTTATTAATAGTCTTTTTTGCTCCTTCTGAGCATTAGAGCCATTTAACAGGGCTTTTGCCAGTCAGAAAGCACCTTGTTGCAGATCTGCCCCTTAATAGCTGTGCAACCCTAGAAAAATAATTAGCCATGCTAAGCCTCGATGATTTTCTCACCTGTAAAAAGGAATTAAATCCAATGATAGCTAAGATTTCTTAGAACTGTAAAATTCTGTGACTCAAATGTTTGTTGAAAAAAATTAAATAGGAATGTTTCCACCTGCATAATTTCTTAAGCCTCGATAAACAACAAAGCTCCATTGTACAGTCTTTCACTTTCTGCTGTACAACTAATACTGAGGAGAAAGGGCAGGGAAATAAAATTTATTTCTCCGACTCCTTGAGGCAGTAATCAGTCACACCAAAGTCCTTCCTCTTGGAAGGTCTGCATCGCCAAAGCAGGGGAGAGGCAGGCAGCCTGTGCGGCAGCTGCACTCAGCAGGCTGCAAAGGCCGGCCGGTTAGCAGAGGAGGAAGCGGCAGCCGGTAACAGTCTGGGGAGGCTGCACTCCGGAGCAGTTTTACTAACTGCCGGGGCCGAGCGGTTTAGGAAGCTTCATGTAGTCTTTTGCTAAACAAATCTTACTTTACAAAAAAGTTGCCACACTTTGGCAGCTATGGGAGGAAAACAGCTGAAACTAAGGCTATAGAGTTTCCGAGGCAGCAGAGAGAAACTTCTCGGCAGGCTTCAAGACAAACTGAGTGCCAGAAACTTTCTGCTCCTCCAGCCCTCCCAACACTGCCCCCCTCAGCCCTCCCTTCTTGAAGACCTAACAAAAGACCTAAACCAGTCTCGTGACTTCCCTGGAGAGTTCCTGGACTGCGCCGCAGCGGCCTCATTTTACTGCGAGGAAGGCCAGCCAGGAACGGGGGGATGCTGCAGGGGTGGGCTAAGTGGAGAGAAGCCGGGCCACAGGGTGCGGAAGGAAGCGGGGAGGCTTCTGGGTGCAGCACCAGGGGAGCGGTGTTGGATATTTAAGTACCCCCACCCATCCACGCCCAGTTTTACTGGAAGGTCACAGAGAAGCCTGAGCTGAAAGAAGCCTTAGGTAGAAGGAGAGAAAAGGGACTAAAGGATGAATTTCGGTTCCACACTGCTTGTAGGTCTAAAATGGGGGTATGGAAAGGCTCTTTGGGGATTTCCTCTAGAAGAGAAGCTGGAGCTGTCATCTGAAGAGAACAGTGAGCGGGTTCTCTGAAGGAGGAAGGGGTAGGAGTGGAGAAACCCTTGGAAGGGTCTTCTGAGATTACTAAGAGGGATGGAGTTTTCTCCTAGCACGAGGCCCAAGCCCTTCACTGGAGGAAGGCCGTGCGGGTTCTCCGCCCCAGCTGGGCTTCCACAGCAGGGCGGGGGCAGGAGCCTCTTCAGCAAGTGTGGGAGTGGACGGGTGGGGCTGCAGGTCCTCTCCAGCAAGTTTAGAGAACTAAAAGGCGGGGCCTTTCTTAAAGCGCCGGGAGGGACACGGGATCCCTCTTGGCGCCGCAGGATCTGGGGATTGGAGGGGCCTGAAATCGCTTCTGAGGGGTCGGCCCTGGGGGGCGATGGCAGGGTTCCTAGGGCAATGATGACATATTCCTGTTGCTGCGTGTGGGATTCCACATTGAAGACTGAGAGTAAAGGCCCCTTCACTGGTCAGAAGCTTGGACGTTTGTCTGCAAAAGTCGGCCTGCAGTGATTAGGAAGGAAACATCCCGCACTGAAGACCGGGGAGACGCGCCAGTAATACTCTCACTACGGGAACAGGCGCCGAGAACAGGAACGTAAAGAGAAACCCCCAAATCCTGGAAAGTCAGGGGCGGGGGGGGGGGGCGGTTCTGAAGCGGTTTGGAAAGGGTGTGAAGGACCCGGAGCTGGAAGCTGGGATGCAGCGAGAGCGGAGGCGGGGTCAGACCTCTGCACGCTGGACTGGAGGCGCGCCGGGCTCAGAGGCGGGGAAGACCGAGGGGACGCGGGGTCAAGGCTCCCCAGGGTGAGTCGGGGGGTGAAGGAGGGTTTGAGATGACTCGGGGTTCTCGAAGGTGAACAGAGGAGGCGTCCCGAGTGAATCCCGGGGGCGCCCTGACCCCCGGGCGGCGGGGGCTGGGGCGCGACCGGTACTCACAGAGCGGATCTCCAGCGCCAGGGCGCATTGCAGCGCCTTCACCTTCGGCATCTGCTCGGGGTGGGGCGGCGGGGAGGGACCCCGGCCGCGGGCCCGAGCGACGAGGGGAGACGCGGGGCGGGGCGGGGTCGGGGAGGAGAGAGGCGGCGGCGGCGGCGGCGGCAGCTGTGGCCCCCAGGCCGGGGCCCGCGGTCCAGCCTGGGTCCCGCCGGAGCAGCAGCAGTGCGCGGGGCGCGGACCCGTTGTCATGGCAGCCAGAAGGCGTGGGACCGGAAGAGAGGCCGGGCGGGGACGCGCCGGAGCCGCCGCGCGAGGGCGAGCGGTAGGGGGCGGAGCGCGGCGTGAGGGGCGGGGCTTCCGAAGGGGCGGGGCAGATCGTCTGTGACGTCAAACTATGGGCCCAAAGCAGACAAGGGAGAGAATAGCTGTTTGTGTAGTGGGACAGTGCACTGGTGAGGGGCTTGCACTCAGGAAACCTGAGTTCCATAGTGGTGATGGCACCTTGGGCTAGTGGCGTCCCTCTGCACCTCAGGTTCCCCAACTGTAAAAGAATAATTATTATTATTGATTCTCTTATTTGAATTTCACCATACAGTTAACAAAGCCAGCATGAGGAAACTGAGGATTAGAGAGGAGACCTGCCCAAGTCAAAGGCAGAACCAGGACTGGAAGCCAGGAGCTCTAAAGTAAAACCCCAGCTGCTTCCCTGAGAAGAGGGGCTTGAATCAGATCGTCATGTTCCTCTTCCTAGTCTCCAATTCTGTGATTCTCTCTGTTAGTGCATCCCCCTCTCCCTTCAAGGTTTCCTAGCTGATTCACCTGTGTATGCATCTCAATGTATATCGCTGAAACTACGCTGTCCCTGAAAGACCAACAATAAAACCAGTTGCAAAGGGCCTGGGCTGTAGACCATCAAAGATGAAAAGAATCTAAGAGATTGCTCAATCCAATCGTTTTCAAAATTATTTTTATTGAGAAGTATATTATACATACAGAAGTGTATAAAACATGTTCATCTTCAATGCTAACAAAAAGTGAATACTTGTACAACTAACACCCAGGTTAAGAAACAGAACATTACTAGCACCTTAGAAATGCCCCAACCATTGTATTGCCTTCCTTGCCCTGGAAGTAACCATGACCCTGACTTTTGTTATAATAATGCCCTTGCTTTTCTAAATACTTTTTCTATTCATGTATGCATTTCTAAACAAGATATTGTCTGATTTTTTCATGTTATTGGTGTTATATAAATGAAGTTAATACTATACGTATTTTCCTGTGACTTGCTTCTCTCACTATTATGTTGTGGGATTCACCCAGTGTTGATGCTGTGTAGTTGAAGTTTTTTCCATTGTTGGACAGTACTCTAATATATGAATATATATTGATTTACTTATGCTTTCCATTACTGGTGGTCATTTGTACTATTTCCATTGTTAGCTATTATTAACAATGTCATTAGGGACATCCTAGTACATGTCTACTAGTGCACGTGTGCTGGAGTGGAAGTGGTTTGACTGGGTATTAGGTTTTGCACATGTGGGGCTTTAAGAGGTAATGCCGCACCATTTTCCAAAAAAGTTGTACTAATTTATGTTCCTGCCAGGAGTGTACAAGAATTCTTATTTTTCTACATCCTCACCAACATTTGAGTATTGTTTGGATTTTTAATTTTTGTATATTTTTGGGTGTGTGTAGTCTAGTATCTCATCATAGATTTATTTTGCATCTCATTATTATTGAGATTGAGCACCTTTTTACGGTTTTATTAGTCTTTCCATTTTCTCCTTGAATTGCCTAGTAGTTCCCTTGCCCATTTTTCCATTAGATTATTTCTCTCTCACACTGATTTGTAGGAGCTCTTTATATATTCTAGATACTAAGCTTTGTCTATTACATGTGTTGCAAATATCTTCCCCAGTTTGTGCTTGAGTTTTTTAATTTTCCATATAGTGTATGATGAACAGAAGAGAAATTAAGCCATTGAGTATGAGTATTCTTAGTTTGACCAAATAATTCCAAGTTGCTGGCCAGAATGCCACATGTCTACACTCCACCACCAATGCTTGGGGGTTATTATGCCCCCACATTCTTCCCAATTTTGGCATCATCAAGCTTTCTTGTTTTACCTGGTATAACAGATTTAAAGTACCATATCACTATTAAATTTCTCAGATTACTGATGAGTCTGAGCATATCTTTACATGTTTATAAGATTTTCTGCTTTTTTTACTATAAACTGCTCATATCCTTTTCCCGTTTTCTATTGGAGTTTTTGTCTTTCTTACAGGCGTTCTTGTGTATTCTAGTTATTAATCTCTTGTCAGTTTTAGACACGCAAATGTTTTCTCCCTTTTTCATCTGTTTATAAACTTTGTCCAGGGTGTACTTCAGTTCATAGAAATAGCCAACTTTCGGGCCGGCCCCGTGGCTTAGCGGTTAAGTGCTCGCGCTCCGCTGCTGGCGGCCCGGGTTCGCATCCCGGGCGCGCACTGGGGCACTGCTTCTCTGGCCATGCTGGGGCCGTGTCCCACATACAGCAACTGGAAGGATGTGCAACTATGACATACAACTATCTACTGGGGCTTTGGGGGAAAAATAAATAAATTAAAAAAAAGAAATAGCCAACTTTGATGTAAATCAATCATTTTTGCTGTATATTTTGTGTTTCTGTTTCTGACATTTTAAGAAGTCTTCCCCACTCCTAGGTGACAGAAATATTTCCTCTATTTGTCCTATCAACTTCTTAGTTTTAACCTTCACATTTTGACGTTCAGTCCATCAAGACTCAGTCTTTGTACATGATGTTAGACAGGAATCCAAGATCCACTCGTTGTTTCCTCTAGAGAGTGAGCTAGATTTCCCAACAATGTCTACTAAACATTCTATACTTCCCCTCATTGATTTGTGGCACGACCTATATCATATATTAACTACCTAGAGTTCTGTCTTCGAGCTTTCTATTCTGTTCCAGTGTTCTATTTGTCTGTTCTTACAACAGTATCACACTGCTTTATTACTGTGACTTCTTAATATACTGTTTGGCAAGTCTCTCTCTCTTTTTTTTATGAGCTTGATTTAGCTATTTGCGATGTTTTATTATTTTAGAGTAAGTTTGTCAAGTTCCTCAAACAGTCCAACTGGAATTTTTATTGTGATACATCAAATTTATAGACTAATTTGGGGAATTGACATCTTTGGAATAGTGCATCATCCCATCCAAGAACATAAAATGTTTCTCCATTCATCAGATCATCTTCTATGTCCTTTACTAGAGTTTCAAGTTTTCTGCATGAGAGTCCTACTTAATTCCTAGGTAGTATTTAATTATAGCTTTTTGTTTATACTATTGAGAATAGTTTCTTATTTTTCATTATATTTACTAGTTTGTTATTGCAACTATAGAGAAAAAATTTATTTTTATAGGTTGATCTAGCAAATCTGTTAAACTCTTTCTGATTGAATAGTTTATCTGTTTTTTCCATTGTTATTGTTGATATTTTTCTCATAGAGATGATAAGCACTCCATTGAGTTTCTATTGCTACCATAACCAATTACCACAAACTTGGAGGCTAAAATAACACAAATTTATTATCTTACATTCTGTAGGTAAGAAGTCTAACACAGGTCTTGCTGGGCTAAAATCAAGGGGTCAGCTGGGTTCCTTTCTGGAGGCTCTAGAGGAGAATCTGTTTCCTTTCCTTTTCCAGTTTTCAGAGGCCACCAGCATCCCTTGGCTTATGGTCCCCTTTCCTCCATCTTCAAAGCCAGCAATGGCAAGTCAAATCTTTCTCATATTGCATCACTCTGACCTACTCTTCTACCTCTCTCTTCCACTTGTAAGGATACTTGTGATTATATTGAGCCTACTTAGATAATCTTCTTTTCTTAAGGTCAGGTGATTAGCAACTGTAATTCCATCTGCAACCTTAATTCTCTCTTTGCCATGTAAGATAACGTAGTCACAGGTTCCAGGGATTAGGATATGGACATCTTTGAGGGATAATTAATCTGCCTACCACAAGCACCAAAAAGAATAACAATTGTAGTGCATTGAAACACATCAGATGTGTTAAAAATCCATGAGTCGGTAATGTTACTCAAAGGAGAAAGAAAGCATTAGTCAGCTGTGGATGATTTAAGAACCAACTCACTCTGAAAACTGATAAATAAAAAGAAAGAATCAACCATTCATCGTGAATGTTTGTTGTTTGAACTATACCTCAGGATGACCAAAGAGTTGATGGGTTTTCTTTATAGAAAACTCCTGGCTATAAATAAACAGGAATGAAGAATTTGAATATTCATGGCTGCTAAAACCATTAGTGAAAAGCTGATGAGGAATTTTATAATGGGTAGGTCAGTCTGACAAGATTTTGTAATCATAACATTACAAAAAGAGAGAGAATCAGACATTATATCCCTTCTGAGGTGGTACAGTTAGGAGTACACAGCACCACCTTTCATGCCAAAAAATCCAACTTGAACCTGACCGAGCATCCAAATATATCAGCAATGTACAAGGAATACAATAGTCAAAGTAACGAACTTGTTAAACAAAACCATAGGGATGCAAGCAGCAAAATAAAGACAATATTATTTCTTCAACAAATATATTGCAAAGGAAAAAAAAGAAGAGAGACTGTATTAAAAAAGGACTAAAGAGACATAATCTAATATAAAATGTTTATGAGACAATAGGGGAAATTTGAATGCTGACTGGACATATGATAATCTTTGATAAATATTTTAGGAATGATAATGGTACTGGGGTCCTGTTCTTTAAAAAAAGGCCCCTTTTAAAAAGTCATATACACTGAAGTATTTATGGATGAAATATGATATCTGGGATTTCCTTCAAACACTCCAGTGGTGGTGGGAGGTGGAAGTGGTGGGAGGTGGGAGTGGTGGGAGGTGGGAGTGGTGGAGAGTGGGTGAGAGTATGATTGGAACAAATTAGCCATGTAATTGCTGATGACAGGTATGCTAGAATTCATTATACTATTTTTCTACTTTTGTATGTTTAGTTCCATATTAATTCATACAAAAATAGGTATTGAACAGTGTCAAATGCTCTTTCTACACTGATTATTGAGATAATCATATGAGCTTTCAACTTGAGCTTATTTATGATGTGAGTTACATTGATAGGTTTTTCTGGTGGTGTACCTTCCTCATAGTCCCATACTAGGCTATTTTGTGAATATGCTTTTGTATTATGTTATCTAATATTTTATTTAGGTTTTTGTTCATAAGAGAAT